AACATAAAGATTAAACTACCTGAATCTTAAATTTCAATCCTTAATGCATCTAATATACTTGATTACTTTAGTCCAACTCTCCTATGCATTTTAACAAATACCTTGTGGTTATTAGTAAATCAATTGTATTATCAAGCTTCCTACTCTTCCAATCTCTTACTCAACAATTTCTCAACTTTTATATAAATTTGTTATGCCTCCCAAACTTGTGGCTTTATCAAAAATCCATTCAAATAGAACTAAAATTCTACCTTTACCTTTACCAAATTCCAAGTAGAAGTATAGAATAGGAACACCTACCTTATATAAACTCTTGTCTTACTAATTTCAATTTTCATTAAACTCCTACTACTCTCCTACTTCACGTACAGCAGGTTCAAGGTTATCAAATTAAAGCCTGGCCTAGCCTAACTTTTTTCCATCCCAAGTTGCATGGGACATACGATGATATTTAGCTATATTAAAGCCTGACCTAACTTTGCTTGTTTCTGTCTCTAGTTACATGGGACATGTGATGATATTCATATATTAGAGTTTAATCTGCAAAATAAATATGATTGTTAAACTTTTTGTTGAGTTCCATCCTTGATGAATTGGCCAAGTAAGTAGGAGCCCAAGTTGGATTGAATAATTATATATATTAATAATAATTCTTCATTATCTTACAAGTTGTTATTGCAGTATTTTGGAGGGAGTAGTTATTCATTTTAAATAAATAAAATAACTACCCATTATCTGTGTGTGAGATATTAGGTAATCTAATAGAACATATGGTTATTTAGTTTACTCATGCAAAGAACAAGAGTGTTCTCTCATCTGCTTCTCTCCCTCTCTTCTCTCAAAAAAGTTCCAGTGTGTCCACGGTGTATCAAACACTCCTGTCCATCATTGTAATCAAGTTATTGTGAGGGAGAAACAAGGCCAGACATCATTATCAAAGGTACCGTCATCGGAGTCGACAAAGGTATGTTTCTGCACTCCATATTCTTACACTTTTAAAAGACAATGATTTCTCCTTAAGTCTAATTCCATCTTCAAAGTTAATTTGTATTGATTTAGGATATATACCAAACTTTTTTTAATTGAGCCAATTTTTATATAACAAACAATTGGTAAATGGGTGTAACTCCTAAATAAATAATTTTACAAGTCATATTTTTATTTAGAAAATACATTCATATTTTGAATTTTTACATTGCCTCACCCCAAAAAAAAGAAGAAGTAATGAATGGTGTTTTAAATTACATTTGCATGATCATTTAACAGTTTATTGAATAAATTAATGGACATTAGATGTCAAAATAGTTGTCAATGATGAATGTGCATATAAAGATTTTCTTATACGTAACTTTTTTTTTTTTAGTATAGGTTTTAATAGTACACAATCAAACTCGATTTTTTTTTTTTTTTTTGAGAAAAAGACGCAACCTCTTAGCTACAATAGAATTGGAGAAAAGCAGGAAAACAACTCACACATATTGTAGAAGCTTGCAAGCTGCTCAATCAATACTAATTCAACACATCTTAGTACTTTACTTTTAAAGTGACGAAATACAATAAAAAAGTAAATATAAGTAAAATATTGATGTTGATCACTGTAACACCCTCAAAAATATAAACCGATTTTTCGTAAATTATTAATTCAACAAATCATTTTTTTTATTGAACCCTTATCATACCCTTATCATGGTAGAAAAATTTCTACCATGATACATCTAAGACAATATACCACAGGTCTTAAAATATCTAAAAAAAACAATTAGAACCATGAGGGACAGACATAATCCTCATGGCATGATATTCAAATCAGATCATAAATCAAGAGGGACAAACATAATCCTCTTGGTCATATAAATCCTTTTAATAAAAAGGATTAGAGCTTACATGCTTCACAAAGGAGATATGTCCTAAGTTGGCACAAAATACATTGTATAATCCAAAATAAGAGGCAACGTAAAAGATGGTGTCTCATTCACCATAGTTACACCTCTGGTGCTTTCTCAGCCGGACTCACTCCTGTAAAAATATTAACCACGGGGAATGAGACTTAAAAGTCCCAGTAACCAAAAATTAATATGTAATGATGCATGCGGATGTAACTAATCATGCGATTGCTAAGTGGGCACACAAAACATTTAACCGAACAATATTTTCAAACAAACCGAACAAGTATTTAATTTGCATGACTGCACCTTATATCCTCCTTTCGCCATGCTCGGACGCCAAATCACCTGGCCAAAGGTGAGTTGGACCAAGCGACATGCCACTCATTAGGTCCAATGAGGGCTTACCACGTGGTAATAATTAACTGAACAGAAATTCCTATTAACACCATATATTAAAATACCCTGACAAGTCATGCATCATTCAAATATCCAAACAGGAACATATCCGAACAATAATATCTCATCATGATAAACAAAAATAAATTTTTGACCCACTTGGCAATAATTTCAAACAAATATATATATACAGTATTTATTTTCATTAATTCATAATTTTTCCAAACAATAAAACAACACATAACCATTCACAAACACACCCATCACAACACATTAATAATGGTTACCTTGTGTCTTGAATAACAAGTTCCCCTTCACAACTCCTCTTTCACCACTATCTTTGTCAACACAATCTACATAGTTATTTCATAATACTATGTATTAATTTTACATTAAAATACATAACTCTAATTTAAAGAGTTAGAAAGTCTTAGATCTATAATCCATATTAACACTAATTTAAGATTTATGCCTCATTTAACTTCTCAAATTCTTTTCTAAAATTCTCGTACCCTAATAAACTATTTTTAAGCCTCAAATTACTTCTAGTATCACAATTTCATCCTTCTAAATTCTAAAAATTCACCCAAAAATAAATTAAAAATTTTAGAATTATCCTGAAGCCTCAAATCACCTTTCTATAACCTCAAAAATACCTATTCATACTTAAATAAATATTTAATAATCAGATGTTCATCCCTACATCTCAGATTCCACATAAATTCGACCATATAGATCTAGATTTTAACTCAAAAATTCTTAAACAAGAGTTTCAACCTCAATAAAATATTCTATAATATTTATTATATCTCTAAGAGTTTTAACCTATATTTTTAATACATCATATCATCAGATTAACTATCCTATAGAAAAATTCTAATCAGAATATTTACTCTATCCTACAAAATAATCATATCACTAGAAAGTTAATATTATTTAGAAAATAACTATAAAATTAATTATGTAATTAAATAAATTTTTAAATGCTAATCTAAACAGGAAAGTTAGAACATACCTAAAGAAAAAGAAAATAATCCCCATTTACGAGAAAATGCCGAGCAACGTGAGAGAAAGAGAGAAAAATAATATAAAAATGGGATTGTGAGTCCCAAAATTATATTAAAAAAAACTATAGGTCTGAATTTAATTATTCAAATCTTTGGGCCATAAGTTGTAATTTTCTCTAAATTGCATCTTAGCCTCTCATGCTTCCTAATGCACACATCCCCTCTTTTTATATATGAAGGCACCTCTTCTCTTCCCTCATCTAACCAATGTGGGACTTAGAAACAACAACCTTCCTCCCCCCTTTTTTTTGTTCCTTCTATCTTTTCTTTTTTTTTAACACACACATAAAAAAATTATTTATATATTATATCTTAACTAAATATTGCTTATGTGATTTTAAATTTAAATTTTTAAATTCATAATTAAATACCTAACCATAATATTATTTCTAAATAACCTCAAATAATATAAATTCTTATTATTATTATTTTTTCCTCAAAACCTAAATTCCACAATTTCTTTATTATATAAAAATCAGTATGTTACAATCACTATACTTTTATCATATTTTGATATTAGTTTCTATATTTTTTCCGTTGCTTTTAGTCCTTATGCTTTATCCATCAATATCGTTAGTCTTATTTAAATATGACCATAAGGTTTTAATGATGGCAAAATTTAATTATGATAAGTTGTATAAAAATGAGTATAAGAAAAAAAACGGTAATACGTTAAACCAGAATTCTTAAATGTGCAATAGATATATTTTTTGAAGGAATAAGACGCAATAGAAAGGGCAAAAAACACAAATGTTAGTTATCATTTTACTCGTACCTATCATAATTTTATTAACTCAACAATAAATTTAATTTCATCATCATAATTTTACCAACCCATCATAATGTATATATAACTCTTATATACACATTAATATATTTAATTTCATCAGTGATGATAATGACTAACATTGCAAGCATATAAAACTTAAGATATTTGAAAAAAAATAAAAGAGACTGACACTAAAATATGTTAAAATTATAGGGACTAACAATGATATTTTTTCTAAATTTGAAGTTAAAAATATCCAATGTCAAATAAGTCAAAATGATATTGTAACTTAGTGTCCTTTTAGTTATTTTCATTTATCAATTTAGTTTTTTATATTTAATTTTTATCAATTTAATCTATTAAATTTACTTTTGTTATTGATTTTAGTTGTTTAAATTAATAAAAAAATTATAATTATTTAGGTAGGGAAACCATACTTTAAAATTTCAGAAAACAAGATAAAATGACACAATGTAAGTGATTATATTAATAAAAATTAAATTAATTTGAGGATCAGTTTATTTTTATTTAGTCATACGTATATGTTAAGTTATTAATACACTTTATATATTAAATTATTTTGAGAGTTAATTTATGTTAAAAAAACTTATAAGATTTATATGCTAATTTAAAAAAAATAAAAGATTAAATTTATAAGGACCAAATTTATAATTAAGATAAATTTAAAAAGTTAAATTGATAACTAAAATAAATTTATGAGATTAAAAGTTTTATCATCCGAAAATCAAACAATTAAAAAAATATAAATAAATCATGGGTTGCCATGGAAAAAACTGGTAAAAAAAAAAAAAAAAAAAACCTTTAGAAGGAACATTACAGTCTAGGAGGAAACAATCTTTCAATGGAATTTAGATTCTCACTGATTTTTTCTAAGACGAACTTTAGGCACATGGAGAGAAAATCTTGTCCAAACACGCGAAGTTACAGCTTTTTCATCACCTTATGGCTCTCCCTTTGCATCACACTTCCCCCACCGTTGAAATTTTCTCCCATCCTCTCACCTCATGGACATTTTCCCGCGGATTTTCTTGCTGTTTCCCTCAAACCGTCCTTCCTGTTAGTAGGAAGCTTTTCTATGCAAGGCAATACCTCCACCACCGGCATCAACCGGCAATCAGAGCTTTCCGGGAATGGCGGGAATACGAGGAGGCAGTGAAGCGGAAGGACCTTGCCACGGCTCTGAGATTCTTGAAATCCATCGAAAACGAAAATCCAGTTGAGCTATTTGATGGTTCTGCTCCTTCCGCGGCTGACTCCTTTGAGTCTCGGTTCCGTGAGCTGCAATTATTTGGGCCTCAAAGGGATTGGGAGGTTCTGGACACGTGCTTGAATGCGGATAACATGAAGCTAGTTGGTAATGCCTATAAGTTTTTGAAGGATAGGGGTTTTCTGCCTAATTTTGGAAAATGCAGGAATGTTGGTGAGTTTTTATGGTTCTACTTTTCTGGATTATTTTTTATTTTGGGAAGACGGAGGGGGATTTATTGGACTTGGGATCGTGGAAAAATGAGTCAATTTATTCTCCAGTGTTTTACATTGTTATCTCAAGTTCATGAATTGTTCAGGATAAAATGGTGCCTGGTGAAGCATTTGCCAAGACTGCTGAAATATTCAGAAATTTTTACAAATTTCTTTTCCCCTCCGTTCGTGATTTGAAATTCCGATTCATTTGCCCCAGTTTAATTTTATCATTCAGTTCCAGTGCCTCGTTTCCTCACATTCTTGTGTCAGTGCGATTTGGTGCTAGGAAATAGGAAAGGGGCCTAGGTTAAGAGACTTGTGAACATAACATCTTCTTAAAAGACAACCAGCATATCACTTTCCTTTAGGAATATGACGATAAGCAGGACATCGTTATATACACCTTTTAAATAATCAAGCCAAATATAGTAAAAAGGAGGCGATGGCCAATCTCTCAGACTGCCACTTGAACTTTTGTTTGATTATCAACTCTCTCTCCGTGTTTCTAATTAAGATATGATGCACTGTCTTTGTACCTAAATCACGTTTCCCCTTATCGCACTAATGGTGCTAGGAGGTTGATGGTGCAAAAATTAATTGTTGCTTGTGCTCACTGTAGATGTCAGTGGAGCCCAGGTTCCTGACCTTTTCCGCTAGCTCAAATCAACTCCTTCTTGGAATATAAATTAACAAATTTAGCTGAATTTATCATACCAAGTAACCAGCAAAGTCATACCATCTACAATAAGATTTTTGGGGCAAAGGAAGCCTCCGAATGCTTGGAAATTATACTCAAAGGAAAAGAGTTGCACAACCAGAAGTTCTGAATGCTAAGGCAAAGCTTCCCTTGCAGAACACTGCCAAGTTGTTTCAAATATTAACCATATCTCTCTTTATCAGGGAACTATAATATGCATAAACCTTGAACCATAAACAACTTTTGTGATGAAAAAGTATGATAATTTTCCATCCTGTCTTCTGTGTGTTGTTGTTGTTGTTGTTGTTTTAATGGCTAAAGTGTACATTTCAGTTAGGTCCTTTAATTTTATAAAGTATTTTTTAGTTCTCTAACCCTAACACCATTAGTTTTAGATGATTATTTTTTGCACCAATCATTGTTATTTAAAAAAATTAAGCTCAATATATCAACATTAATATTATGTTAATATTTAACATTTCAATGTTGAAATTTCTCGTTGATGAAACTAATGAGGTTAGGGTTAAAGGCTTAAAAAACACTTTATAAAATTAAAGGGCTAAAATAAAACTTTTTATAAAGTTAAAGGATTAAAGGTATACTTTGGCTTTTTTTAATTTATTGTTTGCTGTATTTCCCCCTCTGCTAGGATGGTTGTTATGCTAAATATTGGGGTGAGCTGCAATATAAACACTTGATGACTTTAGGATCAGAAAGACATGTTTTTATTATTTCAAAATTGAGCATTCCTTTGGATTGTCAATCCTGTACCATATTTAAAGACCAGCTTTTGGCTCTACATGTTACTGAAAATAATGTTTGCTGTTGTTGTTATTTGAATTTGAGGCTTTCTGAATTGATGTATATTAATAAAGTTTGCTCTTACTAGTCAGCTGACGCAGCTTTTGCTTAAAATGGTCTGTGTTTCTTACTTTTGCTTTTCCTTTTTTTCATTTTTCATCTTGCATAGTTCTAGATGGACCGAGGAACATTACACCTGATGTCTTGAAGTCCTCAACTGGTTTAGAAGGTGCACATATGAATTTCTGACCGACAGATATTTTTCCTAAGCTGTAAATGGCTCTAATTCTCACTTCAGTGACCATTATTAATTGTATTATATTGGAATAAATAGTAGTTACTGAAATTGCTGCTGCAAAACGCTTATCATATGACCTCCAATGCATTCTTACCGCGTTTTCCTTTTTTCTGTTTAGTTTCTAAACTTGCTCCAAAGAAGTGGGGTCTTTCAGGGAGTTCAAGTGCTGTTTTGATTGCCTTTCTCGGTGGGGCATCCTTTCTTGTCTCTCAGGGAATTGACATAAGACCCAACCTTGCGGCAATATTAGGTCTAGCCTTCATAGATTCTATCTTCCTTGGCGGTACTTGTTTAGCTCAAATTTCAAGTTATTGGCCTCCATATAGGCGCCACATCCTAATTCATGAAGCAGGGCATCTCTTGACAGGTAAATTATACTTTTTTTTTTGTGGGATCCTCTTGTCACATGTATGTGATAGTGGGCTTTCTCAATCATGTGTGTATAACATCTTACAAGGATTGTTCTGATGCTGTCATAGCATACTTGATGGGTTGCCCAATTCGTGGGGTGATTTTAGATCCAATAGTTGCGATGCAAATGGGTATTCAGGGACAGGTACTTTACTCTTCTATCTATGGTATATTAATGTGTAGTTTTATCAGTTCCTTGTTTGGCTGATCCTTGATCTAGGTTTCATTTTTAGTGGCATGCTTTCCACGAGTGTTATTTCCATAAAAAGGTTCATACTTCGTACTTTTAGTTTGGATGTTCTATATTTGGTTTTGTTTTCTTCTTTGTTCCTCACCTGAAGCATCTGCTTTCTTGCCTTGGCAATAGATTTTTTTTTTTTTAATAAAAAAAGGCGAGAGAACTTTGATGATAAAGTTTCCAAATTGTAATGTATTTTGATATTTATTGCTTTTCACAGATGCAAGCAAGTAGATTTTATCTCTTGATATTTCTTGTGTGATAAATTCTTTTATCTACTTTCTCTCATTTCCATTGACATACTTTCACTAGACTCAATATATCTTTTTGGTGCCAATAAAAAATAATATTTTACAGGCAGGAACTCAGTTTTGGGATGAGAAAGTTGCCAATGACCTTGCTGAAGGACGACTTGATGGAACTTCCTTTGATAGGTGGGTACAACGTTCACAGTTGCTGGGATTTTATGTTGAACTAAGTAGTTTTATGTCGAGTCCAATTGATTGAAGATATCTTCTTTTATTTTGAGTGTAGTTAACTGGTTAGGCAGGTTATTTAGTTGCGAATGAAAACTGAATAAAACACCGTTTTTCATCTATCAAGCAATGGGAGCTTAGTTTTTGTGGTGCTTCAGCACTATGGTTCTTCTTTTAGTTAGGATTTGGAAATTGCACTTTCCTATCTTTGTCCCATTCAAAAGTAACTTGTCTTTTTATTTCTCCGTCTGATTGCATGATACTTTATATTTGTTAAACCATTCAAGGTGAAGGAGCCCCATGACCAGGCTTGCTGTGTGTTGATGGAGAAAGTTGAGCCAAATCTCTTAGTGTGTCTTTTAGCTTTAGAAATTTGTGCTCTGTAACTAGATTTCAATTAATAATTGGTCATAGGCAGACTAGCCATTGGATCGTAGTCTAACAGGCTGTTTTGTCTTGAAAGTGCAAATAGCTTATTCTGCTTGAAAGCTGTCGTATGGAAGTAAAGATGGAAATGTTTAATGCTCACATTGAATATTGAAGCTGTTAACTTGAGTCTTACTTTTCATTTCTTTTCAGCTTTTCGAGTGATACTGATGGTTTACATAACCAATTGTTTAGGTACTGCATGGTGCTTTTTGCAGGCATTGCAGCTGAAGCTCTAGTTTATGGAGAGGCAGAGGGTGGAGAAAATGACGAAAATCTATTTAGAAGCATCTGTCTTCTACTTGATCCTCCATTATCTGTAGCCGAGGTCACTCTGTATAGCTGATGCACTTGTTTTGGTTATCTTGTTTTATCTTTGTGATACTGAAATATGAACTTTCATGTTACTGCTTTGAGCAGATGTCTAATCAAGCAAGATGGTCGGTTTTGCAATCTTATAATCTACTCAAGTGGCATAGATCTGCACATCGAGCTGTTGTTAAAGCCTTGGAAAATGGTGCAAGTCTTAGTGTTGTAATTAGGAGAATTGAAGAGACCATGTATTCAAGCGAATGATGAACCACAAAAACGTATAGAAAAAGAACTTTATTTTCTTCAAGTTGCTGACCAGGTAGCATCTCTGCCTCTAAAATTACCTTTCCGAGTGTGACCCTTGATAGTTTATTTATTGTGATTTAAATTAATAAATAATCATGTTGAACATCGAACAATTTCACTTACATGAATTCGATTAGTTTTTGGATATTTTCTAGTATTCTAGGCTATTTCAAGAATGTAGCGTAAAGTTTCAGTTACGAGATACAAGCTTTGAAAATATTTTCTATATTCAAATACTAAAGATGTTCAAGGACTAAGGAGAACATACTTTGAATGATTGAATTGTTCATCATTTTGATGTGGAAAAATTAACCATTTAATCCCTATATTTCAAATTGATTTTCAACAGGTTCCTGCATTTCAAATTTTTTCAATTCACTCCTGTAAGTTTCTATGTTTTCAAAGTTAGGTGATCCATGTGGGAGGATGAAATTGGTTAAATGTTAATGGAGCTAATCAATAATACCTTGATGGTGGATTTAGATTAATAAGGATTTGGATTTGGATCAAATTCCTTATTTAAATATACAAATATTTATGAATTTGAATTTGATTAAAATCTAAATCCATTTCTTACTATAATTCTTTTATAATTTCAAATTCTCTCTGTGCCTTAGTCATCTGAAATTCTAGACACTTCAAATATCTTGTTTTTTTCACGTTTTTACTATTGATATCTCTACTACTCTCATGTCTTTTATCATTTCTCATTCCCGTCTCTCATTGATTAAAAAATAGATATAAACTTGTCATTTTCAATTTTCCCTTTTCATTTTGAATCTAAACTCATCTCTTTTTTTCATTTAAAAAATTTTTAAATTGTCCAAACAAAAGATTTTAAATACATGAATTTTAAATGCAAAAATTGAAATGCAAGATTTAAATCTAAAATCTAAAATCTAAATCTTAATCCATCAATTCAAATATTATCTAAATGTTTGCTAAAGCTAACCAACGTAGATTATTGGTGTTAAAATTAAAACTGAAGTTACTATCGGATAGTTGTGGGTTAACAAAATATATTCCAGGAAACTTATTTGAGACTCCCTTTAGATCACGAGAGGATAAACTAATTACGGGCCACATTACAGTTGCTAAACTGTAATTTATTCTTTTCTGGCTTTTATGTTTACTTTCTCTTTTGCAGGATAGATGCAGTGGAATGGAGTTTGTCTTCTGATCTATTTATACTATCCCATGCCTAGCTGTTAGGAATTAGATACCCATGATATGAATGAAACCAAGCAGGTGAATAAATTCTGCGTCAGCAGGTAACCACTTTGTTCGCTGAATCATGCGTCAGGTGGTCCTAATTTGCTTTTTGCTCAGAAATGGACATCCAGCAATCCTGCCTGGAATACCCAGTTTTCTCTATATTAGAGTAATGGATATAGTTTTGAGGAAAGTTGTTGAACAAGACTTTTTGGTTCACAATATATCCAAAGGCTTAGTTGTTGATAGAACACAATGATGTTGCGCAATCCAAATAGGTAACTCCACCTAGTAGGATAAAACTTGTTGTCGTAGTAGAGTAATGGATATAGTTTTGAAATTCGTTTGTAAATAATTATGTTTGGGAAAATGTTTCCCAGGGATCTTTCTGTTGCTTTCCTGGAAGTCCATTCACAGACTTTTTAGGAATTTGAAACTCCTTTTGTTCCTAGTGAGTAAAGTCAATGTTTTATCTAGAATGATGAGAAAAGGTGAGTTGGGTTTTAGAAAATGAAAAATTTACTTGAAGCATCATCTGCGTTTGAAGTTCTACTTAATTTTAAGAAGGATTCAGAGTATACGGATTAAGTTTTGCTATTGCAGTTACATTGTACTTGTTGAAGCAATTACCTTCTATGAATTCGAAGATCAGGATATTTGCCACTTGCAAGGTATTTTACTATTTTTATACTGTGCCAAGTATTTCTTCTCTGTTCATAGTAAGTTTGGGTTGCTTGTAGTTGAATTGGCAAAACAATTATTATTTTGAGGTATATTTCTCCTCATTTAATTATGAGAAAATTACAATCAGGTTCTACATAAAAATAAATTAATTATTTTTTCAATTCATTTACAAGTTAAATTTTCAGGTTAAAGCACAAATCTACCTTCAAAGTTTTTCTGGAGGTGTAATTGATATCATAAAATATTTAAATGCACAATTTTGCCCCCAACGTATTTAAAAACAGTACAAATTTGCTCTGTTATTACTTTGACCATTAACATTAACTTTTTGACTGTCAAACTTAAATCTCTAGAAGCCACGTCACTTGTCAGTTGCCACGTCAACTCTTCCTCTTCCTTATCCCACCTTACAACACACTAGTTGGCTCACGGTCTTGCTATCCCTCTCTCCTTTTACATTTTTGGATACTCTCTTCCTTTTCCCTCAAATTACAGGCATCCCAATCAACCTTTAAAGCTTGAGAAGCTTACTGTGTCACTTGTCGCACCTGAAAAATGTGACATGGACAGTGTGCGAGTGGAGGTCCCGGCCTTCGAGGGGGGAACTGGATGAACAAAGAGTCGCCACTAAGATTTTGAAAAAAATCTTGAGAAATCGTTTAAAGGAGGATAATGATGGTTTGTAAAAATAAAAAATAGGTTCGAAAGTCGGTTGAGTGTGGGGAAGGTGTTAGGCACCCTACAACACCCGTTCGTCAGAATGGTTACTTGAAGTTTGTTATGCTCTATTAATATAGTTTTGTAATTATTTTAATTATTTTTTTTATATTCATGTGTTTGATATAAAAATGACAAGAATTAAGTGAGAAATATTTATTTATATATGAAAGAGGACTTGACTCAGAATCTGACTCTGAGACCTACGTATCCCATGATAGGGATTAAAGTCCACGTAATTTGTGCTTGAAAGTTGTTGGTGAAAATATTGTTTTTTGAAGAGAAATTAATTAGATATAATTCATCATTTTGCAAATAAAATAATTTCTGAAATTTTGATATATGTGTTTTAAATTGTAAAAAGTAATTTAATTTTAATTATTTTTTTAATTTTTAAATTTTTAGAATAAAGAAAAAGAAAAGAGTTTAAGAATTATTTTTATTTTTATTTTTATATTTTATGATTGAAAATTTAATTGCAATACCTGTAGAGCCTTATTGGCTTATACAATAATACAATTATTCTAAATATCTGCGGAGATTTTGAAATCTCACGATAAAATAATTTAACAATTTAATTTATTTATTTATATTTTTATGTATATTTTTAAGTATTGATAATAATTTTTTTAGCATGTATGTATATATACACTTTTTTTGAAAATATTAATCATCATACCTGTAAAGCCTTATTGACTTATACGGTAACATGATTATTTTAAATATCTGTGGAGATTTTAAAATTTTACACAATAAAAGATTAAATAATATACAATTAAGTATATTTTTAATTTGATTGATTTAATATAATTTATGTATATATATATATATATATATTTTAAAAACTTAATCGTTATATCTGCAGAGTCTTATTGACTCGTACGATTATCATAGAAGTCTACAGAGATTCAAAAATCTCACATGACTAAAAAATATAATCGGTAAATGTGATTACTTCAAATTCATTAATTTGATTAATTAATTTTTTAAGTTGTATATTATATGATTATTTACAAAAATAACTTATTTATTATAGAAATTGAGAATCACTATATCTGCGAGGATTTATTATCCTACACGATAATGTGATTAATTTAAGTCTCTACAAAGATTTTTAAATCTTACATGAAACTTAAATAAATTACTTAAATTATAAAAAAAAAGTTAATTTTAACGGTGGGTTATTGAAACCCTTATTTACTATATATAAATTGGATCTTTATACATGTAAAATTTTATTGATTAGACGGTAGATGATCATTTTAAAGGTCTGCGAGATTTTTAAAATCTCACACAACAAATAAATAATTAGAAATGCAAGCATCTAAACGATAAATCAGGCATATGTCAACCTCTTGTTCAGAAATTTTCATGGTCCCCAACACTAATCAAAGCCGATATTTAAACATGAAATTTATTTATTTGAAAATAATAAGTCGAAATCAAACGTAAACGTTCCAAATTTAGAAGCAAGCATATTAGAGAACCTGTGTGTAGCATGTCTTCTTCCTCTCAATATCCTAGATTTGTCGCACCATTTTTGATCAAGAATCTTTGTTTTTTTTTCAGCAAGCTCCTCCCTGATCTCCGCTCAATTCCTTTCCTCTCCCAATCTCTTTTTTCAGAAAAAACTCATCTCTCTCGGTCTCTTCCTCCTCCTCTCCCAATCTCTTTTTTCAGAAAAAACTCATCTCTCTCGATCTCTTCCTCCTCCTCTCCCAATCCTTTTTTTTTTTTCTAAAAAAAAGCTCGTCCCTCCAACTCTCGATTGTCCTCTATCCTTTTCCTCTCTTCGTTTTCTATTTTTTCCAGTAAGAACAGCCCCCTCTCAGTCTCCATCGCCTCTCCTTCTCCTCTCTTTGTTTCTTCTTTCTCTCAGTCTCTGTTTTCTTTTCAGAAAACTCTCGTTCCTCTGTCTCCGTTCATGTCCTCTCTGTTATTCCTAAAAAACCCACGTCCGCATGTATGCAACTGTCTCTGCCTTTTCCTCCCTTCTGTTCGTCCTCATGCTCTTGTTTTCTGTTCTTTTATACTCTCGGTCTCTCCCTCTAGAAATTCTCCTGCGTTCTCCTCCCTCCTTTTCTGCTTTTTTTTTCGTGCTCTGTTTTTCTGGCATTTTTTTTGTGCATGTGTGGCTGTGTTTTTTGCTTTTCTGCCTTTATGATTGTGTGTGCTTGCTTTCTGTGTTGGTGTTTCGTGTTTCTGTTGCTTTACATGGCCGAAAGTTCCCTTTTTTCTATGTTTTTCTCTGTGTTTCCGACTGGTGTGTCTGACCTTGTTTCTATTTGCTATCTGCTTTTACTGTTCTTGTGTCTGCTTCCTTTGTTGGTGTTTCATGTTTCTGCTTCTGCTTCTGCTTCATCTTTGTGCCACTTATCCTCGTGTGCTCTATTCTCCCTAATCAGTGCCGAAAAGAAAATTGTCTTTTGGCTCTGCTGTGCTTGGCTTTGCTTTCTTTCTGTGCCTGTCTTTTCATCCCTGTGTGTGCTGTTTCTGTTTTTTTCCCTTTTTGCTGTAACGTGTGCACGAACGAAGGACCCAACTTACTTTATATATTTAATTTTTAATAACTCTTTTTTTAATTATGTTTATTAATTTTAAAAATTGGATTAAGGACTTAAAAATTTGATTTTGGATTAAACAAATATTTTTTAAAAATATAATTCTAAAAAGAAAATATAATAACTTTTTTTTGAAAATATAATCCTATAAATCCTAATAGCTCCTTTTTTTATGTATTTTTATATATATATATATATATATATTTTTAGTTATTTATTATTATTTTTATTAAATTAAAAAAATGCCTGACAAAATACAGTATTCACGTCACCTATAAGCTACTGCACATGTACACTCATAGATCTCCTCTCCTCCTATCTCGTGATGCTGTGTGATGTGGCCCTAGCAAATTCATCACCATTCATTTAAAAGGGATTTGGGTTTCACGTTAGGTTTTGCCATGCATTATGATCTAGGTTTTGATGTGCAATGTGCTGTGATCTAGGCTTTGCTATTGGAATTTCTGCCATACATGAGTGAAAGCTTTTCTCCCTTCTTGAAAAACTCACTTGCAAACTCCCACCTATCTGGAACGGTTGATGGATGAAGCTCTTCCTCTAGTAATTTGAGATCTTGAACAAAATTGTGTTGAGAAGTGTTTGGAAGCCACCGGATTGTTTTGAAGCTCTTCCTCATTTGTACTTTAAACCATTGAAAATAGGGTTCAAAACTTGATTTATGTAAAAACAGAGGGATCTGTTGCAATTGAACATGCTACGCCGCAATGTACTCTCTCTGTGCCATGTGTTATGATGCATCATATTGAATTAACATAATTCTGTTGTCACAGCACCTATGAGTGAACTTCTGACGTGTCTCATTTTCCCATCTGACATTCAATTAAGGCGATCTTTGCGTCTACAGAAAGATTTTTTTTTTTCATAAACTTGCTAATGACACAAGTCTCATTCTCAAACTATTATATATAAGAAAATTGAGCACCCAAACATAATTAGACTACTTTACACACTTAACAACAACAAGGGTTCCCAAAATCCAATCAATATGCCAGAAGCTTACATCGACACCTAGATCACACTTAGTGGACTCAGGATAATATATGTAACATACCACAGTAATCATATCTCACATGTTACATTTTCAACCCTCAACCCCTAAGTCTAAAAAATAATAGAGGGTTCTCAACATTGCATATATTAAAATAATCATTCATTTGCATCATATAATCATAACTATACTTGCACTAGTATTTTGAATCTAATGGCCTAATCAAATATAATAATACACATTGTCATGATACTAACAACCATGTGACAATAGCCTAATCAAATATAATAATGCACATTACCACAATAATGCAACCATGTGATATTGGCACAATCAAATATCATCACTTGCCACAAATTTAAAAACCATATGATATGTTAAATAATATGAATGATCGAACCACCTTATATCTTCCTTATTCTTTTTGAATGAAACCATGGGCTATAAATCAAATAGGGCTTTGTCCTTGTGAATGGACTATTCAAGCTTACCAATTTTAAGGGTAACTTAGCCAAAAATCACTACTCTTACTCTCGGATAATGGCTTCTCCCATTCTCTAATCCCTAGGTTCTTGTAAACCTTAAGGTAGTCTCCTTAAGGAACAAGTAGAGACAAGTTAGGTTTAAGTTCCTCGACAAATAATAAGGCAGTCCCTTAACAAATAGTGGGACAGTGACTACTTCTCAATTTC